ATCTGTTTTTGCTGCTTTTGACAGGAGTTGCCTGTGCCCTTTGGACTTCAATGCCTGTGTCCTTCCCCACATTAGAGAGGTTCTCAGCTATAATTTGTTCAAATAAACCTTCTGCCCCTTTTCTCATTCTTCTGGGACTCGTCGGGGACAGATATTGTTTTGTTTCATGGAATCACGTAGTTCCCTAAGTCTCTCCTTGTGATCTAATAGTTTCCTTTCCCTCTTTTTTTCAGCTTCATTATTTTCCATAATTTTCTCTTCTGTCTCACCCATTCTCTCCTCTTCTTCTTGCATCCTCGCTGTGATCACTGTATCCAGTTTATTTTGCATCTAAGTTATAGTATTTTTTTAATTCATCATGACTAGTTCTTAGGTCTTTGACCTCTGCACCAAGGGTTTCTCTGGTGTCTTCCATGCTTTTTTTCAAACCCAGCTATTAGTCTTATGACTGTTATTCTAAATTCTTATTCAGGTATATTGTTTATATCTGTTTTCAACAATTCTCTGGCTGTGATTTCTTCTTGATCTTTCTTCTGGGGAGAATTCCCCTGTCTTGTTGTTTTGGTTAAGTTTCCGTCTTTTGCGTGTTTTAAAAGCTCATCATGTGTCCTGCACCTGTGAGCACTACTGTATTAAAAAGAGATCATACACAATCCACGCCCTGTTACTCCAGGAAGTGTTGATGGTGTGTGTTGTGTGCACTCTGTTGTTGTTTCTGGATGCTCCTTCCCACTGTTCGGTCCTCTGCAGACCACCTCCTTGCTCGTGGCGATGGAGTGTTTGGACCTTTAACTAGGTGTGCTTTGATTTGTTTGTTGAAGTAACCCTGGAATAGGAAAAGAAAAAAAAAAAAAAGAGTGTGTGTGTAGCCTGATCCCATAAAAAGAGAAAAAGGAAAGCGAAGAAAAGAAAAAAATGAGAATCAAATACCTATGGGGCTAATTTCAGGAAATGAGAAAGGAAAATAAAGAAGAAGAAAGAGAAAAGATGGAAAAAGAATAGGATAAAAATGCCTTTAAAAATACATATAGGGGCACCTGGGTGGCTCAGTCAGTTAAGCGTCCGACTTCAGCTCAGGTCACAATCTCATGGCTCGTGGGATCGAGCCCCGCGTTGGGCTCTGTGCTGACAGCTCAGAGCCTGGAGCCTGTCTTTGGATTCTGTGTCTCCCTCTCTCTGTGACCCTTCCCTGCTCTCTCTCTCTCTCTCTCAAATAAATAAAAAATGTTAAAATAAAAAAATTTAAAAATATACATATATAATGAGAATTGACAAAAACAAATCAGAAACTAAGAGCCTGATTTCAAAAGAAAAAAGGGAAGAAAGAAAAAGAAAAGAAAAAAAAGAAACCGTTGTCTGTTGGTTCTCAGGGGTGGTGGCTGTGCTGGTCTGGAGGAGAGGCTGCTGTGTTGGGTCAGTCTCACTCCAGTAAACAAGCAGTTACCGGGCACAGAGGAGCGGGGTTTGGGGCAAGTCTGTCCCACACCCACTGGGGGCTGCAATGATGCTTCCTCAAGTCCCACCATATTGGTGATGGGGGGAAAAATGGCGTCACTCTCCTCCCCATACCGGGTGTCTCAAACCACGCTGTTCAGGCAGCCCTCCCAGAATAGGGAGGGCAGTCAGCGTGCCCTGTGCCACGGTTCTCCTGTGCCTTCCACTTGGCTCTTGGCTGGGTTTCAAAACCCAGTGTCTTAATGGATCCCGTGTCACAGGAACCCCGTTCTGGTGTAGAACCACTCCACCCTGCTGATGAAAGAAAGGCCTTTGGCTGGCACCTACAGGGTCTTTTGTCCTTGGGGAGGATTCCCAAAGTGCTCCAGGAGGAGGAATGTTCCTCCCAGTGTGCCCCGGAGATTGCTACACCACACGATGCGCTCTGGGGCCAGCTTCCCCCTTCGCAGGAGTGTGCGCCCCGGCTCCTCTCCAGAGAAAGTCATGCACTTTCCAGACCGCAGAGTTTCAGCTCCAAAGGCTGTTTGCAAAAACTAACTGGCGCTCTCCGTACTTCTCCGTCCCCAGTTTGTGGTCTGGAGAGGGGTTCCTCTTGTGCTAACCCGATGCCGCACTTTCACAACCCTTTTCTCTTTCACTCCCTTATGTCTGTCCACAGAAAGGCTTCTTCCCCCTCCATAGCTCCGCCGTTTGGTCTCCCTTGATGCACATACTTGCGCCTCAATCCTATCAGTCCGCCTCCCTCCAGCTGTGGAGATCCTTCTGCCCCTCTGCAGATCTGTTCCCTGGGTATTCCAGCTGATGGGACCTCGGTACAGCTGTTTCAGGGATGAGGAAAATCCCCATCTCCCTTCTTCAGCCCCGTCTTAACTGCCCTCAATGTCCAACGTCTTTGTTTTAAAGTAAAATTGACATAAAATTAACCATTAACCGTTTTATTTTTTATTGCCATTTTTAGTGTTTATTTTTGAGAGAGAGCACGCACGTGCGCAGGGGTGGGGGAGGGGCAGCGAGGGGGACAGAGGGTCTGAAGCAGGCTCTTTGTTGACAGCAGAGAGCCTGATGTTGAACCCTCAAACCGAACCCTTGAACCGCGAGATCATGACCTGAGCCGAAGTCGGCTGCTTAGCTGACTGAGCCACCCACACGCCCCAGCCATTAGCCATTTTAAAGTGTGCAATTTAATGCCATCTGTAGATGCACAGTGTCGCGTAACCATCACTTCTATCTAATTCCAAGACTTCTGCACCCCAGAAGGAAACCCTATACCCGTCCAAAAGCATCTTACCCGAAATATTCACTCACCAAAGATGACCGCGTTCTAGAAGTTGAGTTTAGCTAACCTTCGAACTGGAGGCAGGCCAGGTGAATTTCCCAAGAAAGCAGCTGAACATAGGACCATTTTGGAATGAAGCCAAAGGTGCCATTTTGAAAAGTTAGAGATCCCCGGGTACTCTAGATGTTTAGATCCTGTTCTAATAAAGACAGTGCCTCATCAGTACTTGCAAATGAATCTTGCAGATTTTGAACAGAATCCCTTAACTCCCTACAACTCCTCTCTGACATCCTGTATGGTAATGAACCAAGTGCCTTGTGTTGATCAAAGATACACTACTGAGACATTATGTCAGCCACTTCTGAATTGTGGCCTTCTGATAAAAATTTGCTAAGTTCTCCTGGCACATATATTCCTCACTAGGGTTAACTGACCACTTGTTAGAGGGTAGATGTCACCTAACAGACTCGGTCATACATAGCCTATTGTCCATGTTGGATTACCACAGTGTCACATCATATACACAATTAACTTGAGAGTGGAGGGCATATTAAAATTGTGCTCTCGAGCACGTGTCCCGGGGCAAGCCTGAAATGGTAGCCTGAATATCCTGGCCCCTCAGTTGTCCTCAGTTACCATGTCTTCCCTCAGTGTGTGATCAGGTCGCCGTGTCGAGAGTGATTCCAATGGTTAAAGATACATATTCCGCATACAATTCCGTGGCACCTAAGTCTAATAAGGAAGGTATTTCAATGGGCCTTCAACTGAAGAGACAGTCATTTATCTTTATCATGGAAGAAAAATGGGCTGTGTTATACTTCCTGAGAGGCCTGGTTTTCCAGAATGGGTAAGGAATTTTCAAGGGCCTTTTTGACACACTCCGATTTTTTTACTGTGACTACTTTAGAATCCACCTCTCCCACCTGAGTCCCTCTCCAACAACCCCCCCCCCCCCGCAGTGTAGCAGGATTCTCGCACAGAAAGTCATGACGCTGAGGCTTTTCTTTCCAGGAAGCAGCTTTATTCTTGCCGGCACGGGCTCAGAGGGTTTGTACTGGAAAAAATGAGCCTCGAATGCCACGTGGTATAGCATTTTATGCGTTTCCTACTTCTTTGTCTCCATATATGGGTAACATATGGACATACAGGTGATTGGGTGGCCTCATGTTACAGGGTCGTGAGGAATGTCACGTACAGACCTACAAAGTCTCGTGAGGAATGTCACCTACGCACACAGCCAGGTTGCCTTCCCTTATCTTGAGGTCTTTTTCTCACCACATTCCTTAGGGAGGGAACTCTACCACCCAACACATACACCGTGTAAGATGAGGCTGGTTGGCGTTGAGCTAGGCTCTTTAAAGTTCCTGGAGACAGTTAAGGTGGGATCTCATGTGCGCTGGAAGAATTTCACATCTTCCTAGTGAAGGAATATTCAGAAAGAATATTATTTTGTCTATACAGTAGTCCCCCCTCCCCTTGCGCCTAGGGTACATGTTCCAAGACCCCCAGTGGATGTCTGAAACCACCAGTAGCACTCAGATGTGTGCGTGTGTGCGCACACGCGCATGCCTAGTGTTTTTTTCTCATACGTACATGCATAGCTATGATAAAGTTTAATTTTTAAGTTAAGCACAGTAAGAGATTGACAATAACAAGCAATAATAAAATACAGCGATTACAACAACATACTATAATAAGCTATATGAACGTGGCCTCTCGAAATGCTTTATTGTCCTGTACTCATCCTTACAATGATGTGAGATGATGACACACGTACATGATGAGGTGAAATGAGGTGGGTGATGTAGGCATTGTTATGTAGCGGTAGGCTCCCTTTGACCTGAGCGTACATCAGGCGGGTCATCTACTTCTGGGCCCAGTTGACCGCGGGTGACGGAAACCACAGAAAGCGAAGCCGTGGATAAGGCTGGGGAGGGGGAGGGGGGACTACTGTAACTTACCTATAGAATCCCGCTGTGAAATTCCACAGACAGATACTGGCTCAGCTTACAGTCGAGCTGAATGATGGATTTGTTGCTTGAATATCATTTCCTTATTCTAACCAGACAGTGATGAAAACACAAGCATCATATATTGTACCCTAGATTGTGTATGGGCTCCCAGAGTCGATGTGCAGAATAGAATGTCTTCATCAAACTCTCAACTTTTTCTTTTACGTCAACAACAAGTATATAAGCAGTAGCTGTACTGACTCTAATTTTGATGAGATTTTTTTCCGTTTCTTAGTTTCTAATTATGATTCCAACAGGTGTTATGTTTTGATGCCTACGTAGAAGATGAAGTGCCTGATAAAAGTCAAGAAAAATACAGAATAAGACACTATAAGATCCTCTTCTACCTTGAAGATGACACGATTCAAGTAAATGAACCACAGTTGAAAAATTGCGGACTGCCTCAAGGTACCTGTTTAAAGCAGAGTGATGGTTCTCTTACATGTAGCTCCTACCTTTATATACTGCCCTTCTCCAGCTTTTTAAAAGGTGCCATATACCGCCTCGGTGTGTGACTTGTCAGTGACTGTGAATATAAACGTGCCGTTAGCCTGTAGTTATTGATAGCGACTTCCTAGCTTTCTACCCCTCCCCCCCGCACCTCAGCATGGGCCATTTGTCTTGCCCTTGTATGGTATATTAGTTTCCTTTCACATGTTGCTCCAGTATGAGTAAACTGTCCTGGGTCTTTGGTCCCTTTACTGTGGTTGTATAATGTCTTCACAACACTTTCAAGGAGAAGAGATGAGACTGTGGTCCCCTGCCACTTGCAGATTTGTATTCTCTCTTCTTTCTTCCTTTCTCTTCCTGTAAGCATTTGTTTTATTATTTATTTTGAGAAAGCGCGTGTGCACGTGAGTAGGGGAGGGGCAGAGGGAGAGAGGGAGAGAGTTCCGGGTAGGCTCGGTACGGTCATTGCGGAGCCCGATGTGGATCTTGAACTCCTGAGCTGTGAGATCCTGACCTGAGCCGAAATCAAGAGTCAGATACTTAACCGACTCAGCCACCTGTGCGCCCCTTTCTCTTCTTTCTTGAAGTCACGGCCACGGCCATTTGCTGCAGCCACCTTCTTCTCATCCTCATACCTGTTAACGACATACTCTGATGGCTTTTCAGCAGAGGGTCATTGTCCCTTCACCCCTCACTGCCCCCCCACGCCAGTCATCTTTATCCATACTCCGTTTCAGCCAGTTCTTTCTGTGATGTGGCCACCAGAGAAGTTAATCCTAAGTTGCATTATTAGAAGCAGGGTGGAGCCCGAGGGAGGTGGCCGATTTCTTCTGCTCGTGGCAGGAGCCCTCCATTTGGGACAGTGCTGAGATCGAGATGCCTTCAGGGGACCGCAGCCATGGTGGGAAGAGGCCCCAAGATTTGTGATGCGCAAAGCAGAGTAGTGAAAAGGGCTGTTTGTCCGTAAAGGGAAGAGTCAGGTATGCCTGGTGAATATGTTCAGCAATCTGAAGGGCTGCCACGGGGAAGAAGGATGACCTAATTTTCTGTACCCTCAAGGGTATGACACCTAGGGGGTCAGAATGCAGGTCTTTTCTGGCAGAGGGCTGCCAGAGATGGTGTTGGATGGTTCTGGAAGGACATGGGGTGCAGGGGCAGGTGTAGGGGTCAAGAGTGGTGTCACATATTTGGTCCTTAGTATAGATGGATGGTCCTTGGTAGAGATAGGGGGCAGGCCAGGGGTTATTTTTCACTGGTAGCTTAGGGGAGATATGGGAGGGGGTCGTATGTGTGTGTGGTGGTGGGGTAGGTGACCTTCCAAGGCCACTTTGACCCCTCAGGAGCCATAATTCTTGGGTGCATTTATTGTCTCTCTCTCTCTCGGAATATTGCCATCTTTAATACCTTAGGGTCTGAAATTGCCCTCTCGATTACAGTGTCTTAACTCCTTTGACGTTCATTATTTGCTCACACCCACCATCCTTGTTCTAGCAAAACATCTCCTGAATCTTTGCTACCATCCTCACCCAAGCTACCTTTATTTCTTGCCTTGGGAAATGGGATAGCCGTGTGATAGTTGTCTCCGCGTCTGTTCTCTATGTAGCAGCCAGAGTAGCGTGTGGGCTATCCCCTTGCGGCACTGCTGTCCTCCAAGCACGCAGGCTTTCCCAGAGGCCACGGAACAGAAGCCTCATGGGCGCCACGTAAAAATGCATCATCACATGATGTGTTAAATCAGTTCGAAACCTACAGTGAGAAGCAAGGGGGAAAGAAAGGAGTTAAGTTCACACACACAGGACAAGGTAGAAGCCGGCGGAAGGCCTACTCCACCCGAATCCTGGGACAGGCAACAGTTTCTCTTTCTCCGTCTTTGCCGCATCGGCCTTTCCTGCTAATAGTGTGTTTTGATGGCCAGAGTTGAAGCTCAATCAAGCAGGGAGGACCACAGACCGAAGGGACCTTGGGCCAGTGGCACACACTCTGTTGGGGAGACACCGGGCGGAGAGGGCCTGGCCACAGCTCTAGCTCCCCAGTAAGCCTCCTGAATGGTCATGGGTTTCATTTGTTTCTTGGGGAAAGGACCCACGGGGCCACAATGGTGTCACCAATGAACGAGTGGCCAGATTAAGGCCTCGTGAATATTGAGTACTCATGAATATGTACTGCCTCTGGTATATTTAGTGCGCCATGACTATTTAGAGCCCAGGTGCCTCATATATATTTAATACCTACAGAAAATTAATTCTCCCTTGGTCCTTCTGTCTCCTCCTTCCTGTGTTTGACATGTACATGCTCTACTTAACCATTACTTAACCCATCTTCTGATTTTCTGCCCATGTTGAATACACTTTTTTCCTTACTAACTACTTCTCTGGGCCCCTTGCCTCCGTGTTGGTATACCACAATGGGATCTATGGGGAGAAACAGAGGAGTTTGGGGACCTTGGGTCTCTGAGCATAAGGTTGTGATGAGGCAGTGTGCTAAGGATTTCCTTCAACGCTCATAAGATTGATCTTTTTTGGCACATAGCTTCATGGTGTCCGGATGAAGGATTTGGGGCCGGCCAGCATTGCCAAGAAGTGCTTGTTGAATGCCTACTCTGTGTCAGGCACCGTGCCGGGTTTTGGGAGAATGGGCCAAAGTAAGAAGACCCACTATACCTCCATCTTGTAGAGCTAAGAGGCAAGCAGGGTGGAGAGGAAAGGGAGCAAAGTGACTATAGCCCGAGAGTTTTGCAGTTGTTCAGGTCAGAAGTGCTCAGTGTCCAAGCCAGGACGAAGACAGTAGGAAATGGAAAACACAGGAAAGACTTCAGAGATATTTGGTTGGCAGAGTTGATCAGCATTAACCAACAATTAAATACAGAAAGTGCAGAAGGGGACTATCTAATGATAGGTACCTTATCAAGTCCTGTATCATCATCTCATTTAATCCCCCAACGACCATCTAAAGTAGGCCATTGTCAGCTCTTAAAGAAAAGGAAACAGGCTTACAGAGGGAATTCGCTTCATCTAAACCTTAACAGATTGCGTCAGAGCTCACTCTGTTGTTGAGAAGATGGTGATACAGTAGTAAAACCCAGAAACATGGAGCGAGGCACAACGTGGAGCGAGGTAGAGGTAGGGTATGCTTGTTCTGACCCATGAGGCCTTTGAATGTGGGTTGGGACATCTATATGGTGATGCCCACCAGGCAGGTAGAATCTTAGGGCGTGTTTTCAGGAAGAAAGTCAACACTGGAGATGTGGACTGGGGATGGGGAGTGCTCAGGTCACGAACAGAATCAGACGGATTCTAACATATTGGAAGAGAGGCACCGTTGAGGTGATGGAAAAGGGAAGAAGACTGGATTTGATTTGGTGCCTGCACTTGGTTTTACTAGTGGGGGGAGAAAGGAGACGACGTGAGCTGTCCTCAGTATTCTTTGGACTCTGACATACTATCCACCCGGGGTCTTTTTATTTCGAAAATTTTGTGTCTTAACGGCGAGTCTTTTAGGAAATATGGAAATGCCTTGGTTTTAAAAACAAAGATTTTCACAGACTTAAAAACAGTTTTTAATGTTTATTTCTTTAAGGGGAGAGAGAGCAGGAGCAAGAGAGGGGCAGAGAGAGAGAGGGACAGAGAGAGAGAATCCCAAGCAGGCTCTGAGCTGTCAGCACAGAGCCCCAATCTGGGGCTGGATCCCACAAACCTGTGAGATCATGACCTGAGCTGAAATCAAGAGTCGGATGCTTAACTGACTTGAGCCACCCAGGCACTCCCACAGACTTTTAAGGTTGGAAGTATGACACTTTATAAAGGGACAAGAAGGCTTTAGACTCTTGAGGGTCATTTTTAACACCTACAAGGCTGTTTGTAAAGATTGACAATAACGTATTAGAAAAAGTTTGAAGAATTACTTGAGAACAGAAAGGAAATTCACAACTTTTAAATTCTATGAACATCTGTTTTACCTGTGTGTTTAATTATGTAAGTGACAGCATTGCTGTAGCCAAAAAATATTTTCTTAGGTTTTTATGCTAATAGTTATATTTATAGACATTTACTATATTTATAGTCACTTAAATGCTTTACTCTGATACTCCCTCACTAAGCTCTTTGCTTATTTTCGATTACCTTCCCCACATGACATCAACTTTACACAAATGATAGACTGGCAGTCACAGGCTATCCTGAACCTTCATCAGTGCATTGTTTTTATTATTATTTTTAAAGTTCATTGGTTTACTTTGAGAGAGAAAGAGAATATCCCAAGCAGGCTCCGCACCACCAGCACATAGCCCGACACGGGGCTTGAACCCACGAACCGTGAGATCATGACCTGAGCCAAAGTCGGATGCCCAACCGACCGAGCCATCCAGGCGCCCCTGTGCATTGTCCTATTATTATTCCTTTTGAAGTGAAAGCTCCTATTCCTGTAGCTTACTGGCCCCTGTCTAGTGAGTCTTTGGTTTTATTACACCATCCAAGAAGAAAAATGAAGGGTAACCTCCATGAGGATCCTGGAAAGGCTTTTATTAAAACTTGTCAGTTCTCTCAGCCTCTTGATTTCCAGTTGAAGCACACAAGCTAATGCAGAGGCAAACTGACATTCGTCATCATGACATATTTGAAAATAATTTTTAAGGAAGCAGGGGGCAGTGTCATTCATAAAGATCTGGGGAGCGGGGGGGGGGGGGAATGACTCTGAGTAAAAGACGACTTGTAAAGTCTCTCGAAAATTTCAGAATTTCTGATTGGCTCTTCCCAATCAGGACGTTTTCCCTGGAGGGAAGGCACAGCTCAAGGGATATACACGGAACACCTGGTCATCACGATCTGTAACAAGACTGAATTTGTCAGCAGGGCTTCCTGGCGGGCTGTAGCAAGCACTGTGGAAAGCAAACGAGAATAACCACTCCATCATCAAGCGCTGCTTGGCAAGAAACCAGTCTGTCTTGAAATATTTAATAGGAT